CCCAGTAGATAGTTGTATGTCATAGCTGCACATCCTTCTAGTTGCTGTATGTGGGACTCGGCCTCAGGATGGACGGAGAAGTGGTGCCTCGATGCGCACCCGGGATCCGAACCCGGGCCACCAGCATTGCAGCGCGCGCACTTAACCACCAAGCCACAGGGCCGGCCCTTTGATGTCTTCTTAAAACTACTTTATGGATTCTTCAAAACAAATGTTTGATGTTGTTTACCATCCCCCTTTTCCTTAGCATGTCTTAAACATATACCATATTCCCCCAAATTCTTACCATGTATTTAGGGGAAGACATGTTCAGTTTTCTTAATTCTACAATGTAGAACAAAACTAAATAAGGAGGGCTTTTCTGGATTGGGGAATGGGTAGGGTGAGGCAGGGCAAGGGCTGAATATTTAAATATTTTAGATTATGAACAGTTTATGATTATCACCATTCCTTCCTCTCAGTTAATCATTCTGAATCTTCCCTTGTCATACTTGAGAGTTCTCTGAGAAAGTCTAAATTGGTATCTTAGTACCAGGGACTCCACTTTTTTTTTTTGTGAGGAAGATCGGCCCTGAGCTAACATCTGCCAATCCTCGTTTTTTTGCTGATGAAGATTGGCCCTGGGCTAACATCCATGCCCATCTTCCTCCACTTTATATGGGACGCCGCCACAGCATGGCTTGCCAAGCAGTGCATCGGTGTGCGCCTGGGATGCGAACTGGTGAACCCCGCCCCGCTGCAGCGGAGCGCGCACACTTAACCGCTAGCACCGCTGGGCCAGCCCCAGGGACTCCACTTTTTAAGACTGAACCCCTCAACCTTCCTCTGTCACCCTGAAAGTCACTTCTCTCTCGGCTGGAACCTCTAAAACATTCTTTCTCTAGGCTGTCTTAGGCTTCACCCAAGGGGAGTTCTTCCTCCTGTCTGGTTAAATCAGTTTCCTGGGCAGATGCTGGGTTCTAAGGAAAAGAACACTTTTTTTTTTATTGTGAAATTTTTGTTGTACATTATTATTTATCAGTCACCATATAAGCAGCACACTCTTAACGTACTTCCCCTTCCTCCTTCCTTCAGAAAAATGGCTACGTGACTGTCAGCGATATCAAAGCCAGTCTTAAGTGGGAGACTGAGCGAGCGCGGCAAGTGCTGGTATGTGACTGTCAGAATGGCTCAGAAAGAAGGGCCCCAGGTGGGAGGAGGTGGGTGGATAGGTACCACACAGGCAAGAACTTAAGCCTTGCTCTGCTGGCCTCTTGCCTTAAAGGCTACTGCTGCCACACCAGAAGTGACCGCAGCATTTCTCTGAAGATGCCAATGAGAGGTAGAACTCACAAAGGCAGACTTCTAACCCTGGCATGTGTGTAAAACCAGGCTGCCACTGCTGCTGGGGAGTCACCAACACCTTCTCTCTCTTCCTCACCTGGAGAGCCTGGTCACATGGTTAACAGAGTTTGTACTGGAAGTAGCACTATTAGTGCAGAGTGTCAAGAATTATTAACTACTTATGGTAATTACATATCTATAATGATATACTATTATATGGCATATTATATAGCTATAGTTTTATATATACAGATTTCATGGTATTAATGAAAGACGTATGTTGTAAAGAGGGAATAGCATGAAAATGTAGGAGCCCTGGCTTTCAATACCTTCTTCCTTATCCAGGCAATTAAACTATAGACTTAATTTCATCTCTAAAGTGGGGATAACAAACATCTGCTTAATGATAGTGGGCAGAACCAACCCATCTTGAGCATATTTCCAGCTGCAGGAACTATGAATCCATTCTAATACTAATATGGTTCTTCCATTATCTTCTCCAGTAAGGTTTACCCACGTCTGCCTGTTACCTAGTAGATTAACTGAGTGATCTCCATTTTGCTTTAGGGAGCAGGAGCCAGTGATTTGCTCAAGGCCATATAGCAAATATTTCTGTAGCCCCGCATTCCTTCCACATCCCACTTGTCTTTACCCTCTTTCTCAGCAGCACACGTTAAGTGACTTGGTGCCATTTTTCACCTCAGGCAAAGGTCAAGGCCAAAGAGGTCATTCCAGTTTGGTTTTGTTTGTAAATGTGTGAAGGCACTCGTGTAGATTTAGTCTGAAAACCCCAATGAAGCCAAAATAGGTTTGGGGATTGTTTATCTACCCTACTTGTCTGTGGAAACTCCCCTTTCTCAAAGGACTCTCCCTACCTTTTCCCTCCAGGAACACCTGCTGAAAGAAGGGCTGGCCTGGCTGGACCTGCAGGCCCCAGGGGAGGCCCACTACTGGCTGCCAGCTCTCTTTACTGACCTCTACTCCCAGGAGATCACAGCTGAGGAGGCCAGAGAAGCCCTCCCCTGACTTGTGGAGTATGGGAGGGGGCACACAGCAGACAGGGAGAAGAGGGAGGAGCTGTTGGTGAATAAAACCTGGACAACTTTGCTTAAAAAAAAAAAAACAGAAAAAATGTTCCAAGTTTTTTCTTCCCTCAATATTCTTTACCCATTATTTTATTTTTTTTAAAGTGCCTTCATGGGCCGGCCCCGTGGCTTGGTGGTTAAGTGAGCACGCTCCACTGCTGGCGACCCGGGTTCGGATCCCGGGCTCGCACCGACGCGCTGCTTCTCTGGCCATGCTGAGGCCGCGTCCCACATACAGCAACTAGAAGGATGTGCAGCTATGACACACAACTATCTACTGGGGCTTTGGGGGGAAAAAATAAATAAATTAAAAAAAAAAAAAAAAAGTGCCTTCACATTGCATTTTTATTGGAGAAAACCTCATTTACCCAGTAAGGATAACCTGAGTAACAGATAACAGCGAGCACATATAAAATGACTTGCACAGGTCATCTACAAGTTCATGGTAGAGCTGGGCCTAGAATGAAGGCCGTCTGTCTCCTGGCTAGACAGTCTAGTCTCTCTGTAGCCCTGAGACATCAATTACACCCTCTGTTAATTCAAACCTTTTCCTTATAAAATGTTCCTTATCTCAAGCAGATCCTACTGGACCAGTAAATAACATTCACTCTTTCAGTCTCTTCCAGCTTCCTCTGTAGAGGTTCCAAGTTATGGCAGACTCAGCTGAGTGTGAAGGAAATCGAGGTCAGTGTTAAATGGTGGTTAGAGGAAAGAAAACAATGGAATTTGAGGGGAATCAACCAATAGCAGATGTGGTACTGTTTCTCAAATTCCCTACTAGCTTTCCCTCCTAAACTGATCACCAAGTCCCTCTAGCCTTAGTGGGAAAGGGAATCATTTACTGAACACTGACCCTGTGCCCAGTTTTATGTACACCTCATTTAATCCTCATAGCAACCTTAGAGTTAAGTAGGTATCTTTCACTTTGCAGGTGAGGAATCTAATTAATTTGCCAGGGGCCACCAGCTTAAGCAGAACCAAAGCTGGAGCCTAGGTCCACTAAGCCCAGAGCCCACATTTTCCTCTATCACGGCTGCGCAAGGCACAGGACATTTTGTGTGTAATTTCTTCCTATACACATGGTCAGCCAAGAGGAAAAGCCGCTGCACCAGAAAGCAAGAGCCTTCAATAGCAAGTAGGGAAGGTGGTGATGAGCTGGGAGGCCAGTGTTAAGCCCAGTCTTCGTAGTCTGAATACTAAATTCCTAAGGGCTGCTTTAGTACCAGCAAACTGAAAACCCAATGGTTTGGATTACCCATACTAAGACACCCTTCCCTTAGTGGGGGATACATAGTCTTAAGCCCATCTCTACCTCTACCTGCCCTTGTAGGACATGCTCACTTCCCAGTTTTCTGAATAGGTATTTCTTGTGAAGCAACTGAGGCTAAGATGGCATTCCTCTCCTTGACTGCCAGAGCTACAGCCTCAAAAAAAGGATCCTATTTCTGGTTGGTGGAAAACTCTTATCACCAGTAGTCCTGCTTCCACCTACATCACGTAACCCAAGTTTTCAGCTTCCAGACAATTCACTGAGCACTTTCTTTCTCCCTAACAGTTTCAGGCCTAGGCGAGAGGTGTGATTGTCGAGATGATCCCATTCTTCCTCTTCACAAACCCTCCCACACCCACAGGCACTTCCTCCTTCTGCCAAAACAAACTTTATTGCACCAAAAAGAAAAAAAAAACTTCATTTATGTACAGTCAGATATAAAGACATCTCTTTGACTCCTGTGCATATATTTCCTCAACTCAAGATTAGGGCGTAAAAGTCAGGCCAGTATGCCAGACATGCTCTGTCCATGGCAGGGCCAAGGAGAGGATTGTCACTTGAAAGTGGGAACACTTAAATGGATGACAGACAACACTGGACCAACAGACCAAGGGCATTCTTCTAAGCCCTGTACTAGCTCTGGGAATGGAAGAGGGAAATTGGAAGCAGGGTTCCTTTCTGAGTCTCCTTGTGCGGAGACCCAGCCTTCAGGTATTCGAGATAAGCTTCCGTTCCCCAAGCCTACTTCCTGTCCAGTTTCTCTGCTTCCTGCCCTCCCAAGTAGGACATTCTCCTTTGTGCCTAACCCCCTTCCCAACTCCCCCAGGGAAGTCCCATGATCCACAAGGCAGAGGCCTTCATAGCAGCGGGCAGAGCAGGTACAAGTTATCCTCTCCCTGATGTGTGGCTGGATACTGACTGAGACCCTGCGTCACGTGGATCACCAGTACCCCACCGGGAACCATAACAGTAAGAATCTGGAAAGTACGGGAGAACACATCAAAAAGGGGAACGATGGATTCCCTCAATGCCCTGTATCACAGGGCACCTAAAGCACATTTTTCTGAGCCAACCAGCTAAAGGATCACTGCAGCTAAATACAGATAGATAAGCAACACAGCCAGGCAAACACCCATCAGAGCCAGTGACAAAGAGCAGCTGGGAAGAAGGGGCAGGGGAGGGCAGGGGAGAGCAGGGGAGGAGTCTCTAGAGTCCCAGCCCCAATCCCCTCTGCCATTGGCTACCCTTGCTCCCCACAAGTCCCTGGGCATTGAAGTGAGGAGGGGGGACTACAGGCTGGGGTGAAAATACACAAGGACAGCCAAACAAAATACAATGGGACTAGCATTAGTCTCCCCCCGCACCCACCCTCCCCCAGGAGAAATACCCTCATTGTGACTAGTATTTAGGAAAATCTGTAAGAGACTATTCTATGTAGTGGCTCTAATCCCATACACACAGCAGCTGCCTGTGTTGGGAACTTTTCAAATCAGTGATTGTGGGAACAAACAGCATTTTCAGCTTCTTACGGTGCCTGTGCAGGCTTTACCAAGACCTCAGTTCAGTCCCAGTCACATTTACCTTCTGTCTTAAATCTAAGAAGGGGTGAGGAAACAGGGGGCAGGGGAGAAAGGTGCTCAGGTGCTAGGTAAAGCTTACTGATCAGCAGCCTAGACTCCACCACTGTTCCTTCTCTTTGGTCTGTCTAGAACAGTGACTATAAATTAGGAAAAACAAAATTATGCTGGCCTGTGGGAAATAATGGCGGAAGAGAGGCAGGGAGGAAAAGGGCACTGGGAAGCCCTGCTTCAAGACTGCAGACAGACAGACAGACAACCACCCAGACTGCTTAAATGTCACAGACAGCCCCCCACCCCAAGCTCCCTTCCAGATATTCCCATGAATCATTTGGGCACTCTCCCTCTTGGAATTGCCAATTTCTGCCTCCCACCTATCCCTAAGGAGCTGGCCATGTGGAGAGGTGTGTTGGTTGTTTTGTTTTTGCCAGAGGCCCTCGCCCTAGGTGCTCCTGCATAGGTACCTTGGCCTCTGATATGGGATGAAGATAGCCCCAGATGCTCGAGAGCCGAGGAGGTCAGATCTGGAACAGCCTCCCCACTCCCACACCCTGGGATCCGAGCTTGCTTGGTTCTTGCCATCCTGCAGGATGACGTCACGTCTGGAGGGAAATACACAGTGCCTCTCCATCCCTGGGGTGGGGGGAAGGGACTTTTCTGGGACTCTCAAGTTGGGGGAGGAGAGAGGGGAACAGGGTCTAAACCCTCAGGCTCCCGTGCAGGTCTGTCTCTGTCCCAGACGAGCTGCTATCAGAGTCCATTTCGGTGTTCTCATTATGGAGCCTCTCCAGCACTTTCTGACGAATCAGTCCCAGGCGCATCAAGAGGGACTGGTAGTCAAAGTGGCCGCGCTTCTCTCCAAAAGGGTCCTGCGGGGGAAAGGAGACAAGCAGGATGGAAGATTCAAGTCTGGGTGGCTCACCCTAGAGACAGCAGCTTTGGGCCCATGTGAAAGGCATGCTCAACCTCTGAGTCACGGGAATAGAGGAGGGCGTGGCATAGATAGCTCCGAACAACAGACAACATAATCCTTGTTGAAGAATATTATGGCATGTTTACCACCCCAGAGAGGTCTGACTTGGGCTGACATTAAAATGTGTTTGCATTCCTCAAAAGCAAGCCAATGTGGAGAAAGGGGCACAGTAAAGGCATGATAGATAGGGAAGAGAAATTAAAGACCGGCAATGTAATCGTTACGTGTGCCTGTGTTTTCAATTACCTCATAAAAACCATAAAAGGGGAAAATTATCCTTTATTCCCTATACTCAAAAAGCATAACTTGCTTTTCTAAGGTCGTAGGTAGGTCTAGAACTCAGGAGTTCTGACTTCCACATAAGCACCTGTAGTCTTCCCCAGGGACCATCACCAGATTCCTGTCCAGGTTTCTGGGTATCACTCCAGGGCGACCTAGCCTCAATCCTAGTCCTTGTCATTAGATCAAAGATCTCCCAACATTAGGCAGAAAGGGGTTGACTGTCAAAGTCTCAAAAGTAACTATGGATGAGGTGGAGGATAAAAAACGAATTTAAAATGCTATACAGGGACTGTGGCAGCAAAGGAGCATTGCCAGGGTTCAAACAAGTGGAGACCTCTTTCCTTGGCAGTCACAAAAAGTTACACTATTTTTCCTCTCACATTCTGTCTGCTTCTCCCACATAAACTCCCTCCACACTTCTGCCCACCTATTACCCTCATGATCAAGGGCCAGTGGACACAAGTCACAGTCACTGTGATTACAGCCTGCATTTTTCACTTCTGAGGGTTATATTCCCCAAAGGCTGAACTCCACACTTACTCTGGAGCTGTCAATTTTCCAATCTTCCTTCTTTCATCATTGGCTCCATTTCCACTCACTCTCTTCCTCCCCAGATACTGCTCCTCCCTTTCCTTCCCTCATTGCGAGTTATTTTTCCTTCACAGACTGAATACTGCAGATGCTGCTGGATACCAGCAATGAGAATTCCTGATGGGGAACACACTACAGCATGCATCATCTTTGATATACTCTCAAAAAAGGGGCAGGCAACAAGTTAACCCTGAGCCGGCCTTGCCCTTTGGGTTTCAGTGTGGTAGGTAGGTGGAAAGTCCTTAAGGAAGAATAGCGAAACTACCATTTCTAAGCAGCACCCAGGCAAACAAAACATTTACTCCTACTGCTGGTGGTGTTGGGTGGGTGGAGGAAATAGTCCAAGAAGAGCTGGAGAAAACCTTAACAGGTCTTAGTCACTTATCCAAGTCACCACATTTCTAAGCAAGACCACCCAGAAATGATCCAAAAGACATAAGAACTGGTCCTTCAGGACAGGAGGGTTCTCACCTTCTTACTAACCAGGTCATTTATATTGGAGCTTCTTTACAATTTGGTTTAGTAAGAATCTTTTATTTTTTTATTTCTTTTAATTATTTATTTATTTTCCCCCCAAAGCCCCAGTAGATAGTTGCATGTCATAGCTGCACATCCTTCTAGTTGCTGTATGTGGGACATTGCCTCAGCATGGCCAGAGAAGCAGTGGGTCGGTGCGCACCCGGGATCTGAACCCGGGCCGCCAGCAGCGGAGCGTGCGCACCTAACCGCTAAGCCACGGGGCCGGCCCAGAATCTCTTCTTTAAAAGAAGCTTAAATTCTCCATTTTTATTGGAAGGGGAAGCGTACCTCCCCAGTAGAAGCACAGAATGAACAACTGGTTACCATCCTTCTAATAGGAATCTTTCAACATAGAACACTGCATACCCAATGCTTCCCTAAGCCTTCTTTCTCTTAGCACCCCTGTGCTAGGGATGGCATTCCAATAGATGACTCATAATCCCCAAGATTCTGAGAGGGCTGAAGGTTCTTGGTTTGAAAAGACCACTGAAGGGTCGGTCCAGTGGCTTAGCAGTTAAGTGCATGTGCTCCGCTGCTGGCGGCCTGGGTTCGGATCCCGGGTGCGCACTGACGCACTGCTTCTCCGGCCATGCTGAGGCCGCGTCCCACATACAGCAACTAGAAGGATGTGCAGCTATGACATAGAACTATCTACCGGGGCTTTGGGGGAAAAAAATAAATAAATAAAAAAAATTATAAAAAAAAAAAAAAGAAAAGACCACTGAACAAGAAGGGAAGGAGTTGCAGGATGATTCAGATTCCACTCATGAGTATCTACTTTCTGCCACGAACTTAGAACCAACTCCATATGACTTTAGGCAAGTCAGTCTCCTCTCTGGGCCTTAGCTACTCAAATGAACCAGGTTCCTCTGGCTCTGAATTCTAGGACAGATGTGGATGTCACCATTATGGGGGATTTTACATGGTCTGCTGTAAGCCTCTGAGGTCAGCAGCAGGGGCTGCATTACCTGCATAGTCTGGCCTTGAAGGTGCAGGCGATCTTTGCAGGCCACCTCATAGAAGTCATAATACTCCAGGAAGGACTTCTCCATCACCCCTCTGGAAAACAAGCAGAGAAGCTTATGTTAGGAACAAGGTGGGGAGGGGTCACCTCTTCACTATCTAACTTTAATGCCAAACTAAACAGCTAGAGTTCCCAAGCCAGATTTGGTTTCCTACAGAAATCTTTCTATGCAAAAAGGAACAGCTGACCGCCCATAGTCGATTTCCCTTATACCTTAGGGATTATCAAATGAGAATGACTGTTAATACTGATCATTCGAATTCCAACTTCAACTCATGACTTGCTCAATCTCATCTGTTTGCCGTAGGCCATCCCTAATCCCAAACTTTAATTCAAAATTCTCCTGGGAAATCTGTTTCATTAACTCTGTTCATCTCTTTTTTTTTTTTTTTTTTGTGAGGAGGACTAGCTCCGAGCTAACATCTGATGCCAATCCTCCCCTTTTTTCTTGAGGAAGATTGGCCCTGAGCTAACATCCGTGGCCATCTTCCTCTACTTTATATGGATAGACGCCGCCACAGCGTGGCCTAACAAGCGGTCTGACGGTGCGTGCCCAGGATCTGAACCTGTGAACCCTGGGCCGCCGCAGCAGAGTGCGCGCACTTAACTGCTTGTGCCACCGGGCCGGCCCCTGTTCATCTCTTTTTAATACTCAGAAATAAACATGAGGGGGCTGGCCTCGTGGCGTAGCAGTTAAGTGTGTGCACTCTGCTGCTGGTGGCCCGGGTTCGGATCCCGGGCACGCACCAATGCACCGCTTGTCAGGCCATGCTGTGGTGGCGTCCCATATACAGTGGAGGAAGATGGGCACAGATGTTAGCTCAGGGCCAGTCTTCCTCAGCAAAAAGAGAGGAGGATTGTTAGCTCAGGGCTGATCTTCCTCACCCACAAAAAAGAAACAAACATAAACACTAAGAAATGGGTTTACTATGAAGTGCTCTACACCTCATTTGGCTGTAGAACAATTAAGTGTCTTTACTATGTCCAGGTCCTCATCAAACTGGGTGCTCCCTGAGGCATGGACTACGTCTTTCCCATCAGGCCTGGCACTCTCCAAGAACAAAGCAGCTCTCTGAACTTCCTCTTGGGTAACCCTCAGCCACTTGCTCTTGAAAAGGATGAACCGCATCTTTCCTTCTTCTCTATCTCCCTCTGGTGCCCAACACTGGACTTTGCCCCAAAGGTTCTCAAAGGTACAAACCAGCTAAACCTCCAAAAGAAATACCAAGTGGGCTCTCTTGACACATACCGTAGGGGTTCAGGGCAGGGACACTTTCCTTCCATCATGTCACAGACTGCCACTCTGATGGTTTCATGCCGAATGCATTCATTGTAATTTTTGCTGTCTCCTGGATGTCTCTCCTGTAATGTGACACACACCACAGCATCCAAGTACAAAATTTATGCAAAGAGGAAAGCCAATGGGAAGAGACTTCAGGATTAGTATGGGGTACGTGACCTGAGCTAATGAACTGAAGGGATACCTTTCCCACTGTACGGCAGATGCATGAAGAGCAACTAAGCCTTCATTTTTGAGACCATTCACCTCCCCTGGTGCATACCAATACCCATCTTGTGTTATGGGTCATTCGATCTATAAACAGCGAACTAGATCCATGAAATTTTGCTAAGTCTGAAGATAAAAGGCCTCTCAGGTAAGGATTAAATGGAAGACAACCAAATATAAGAATGATGGTGGGACAAAAAGGTATAAATGACACTAGAAGTGTCAGTGTGGAAAACCTATAGATGTCAGGATGCTTCCTGGTTAACTCCTTTACATGTCTGCAGGATTCCTCCATCACTGAACCAACTATTACAAATCTATCAGTAGGAGAACCTGAAATTTTCAAAAGAAAAACTCCAACTTTGGTCTATAAAGCTAATATGAGCATGCGGGTGTGCACAAAAGGGAATACAGTCTCCCATCCTTTAACTCTCCCTTTGCTCTTCAACGCTCCTCCCTCCCACCAACCCCAGGCAACCAGAGCCTTGGCCTCTGATAAAAACAGATGATGAACAGGAAAAGATATCTATCTTCAGCCTATCATCATAGTTCCCAAAATGCACCACAGCAAAATCACAGGGGTGCTGTGGGATATTTTAAACTTTTTGAGTATTCAACACCCATGAAACACCACAAGAACCACTAGCTGGAAGTAGTAGTTCAGTTTTAACGTTAAACTGCATTATATTCTTTCTGATGACATATTATCTTTGTGAAGCTGGATTTTCAGTCACTATGATAAACAGCAAGAAGCATATGACAACAGTAGGCATCAGAAGTGGGTGTTGAGTCCAATCTGATTCTAAGATTTTAAAAAGTTGTGTGGCGTTCAACAACTGTACACATCCTATTATTAAATCATAGTTATTTTAAAAAGAGGGCTGGCCCGGTGGCATAGATGTTAAGTTCACATGCTCTGGTGGCCTGAACTTGGCGGGTTCAGACCCTGGGTGCGGACCTATGCACCACTCAACTGGCCATGTTTTGGTGGGCATCCCATATATAAAAGGAGAGAAGGACTGGCAACAGATGTTAGCTCAGGGCCAGTCTTCCTCACCAAAAGAAAAAAAAAGAAAGAAAGAAGTTGTTTGGACCTAACTACTTAACAAATGGAATAGTTGGGCATTTCTTTCTGCCTGGGGAATTGTGAAAAAACTACCAAGATGACAGGGTGCTGTGAACAAAGAACATTGGGAGTATTAAGAATAGAAGTCACATTTTTTTTGTGTGTGTATGTGAGGAAGATCAGCCCTGAGCTAACATCCATGCCAATCCTCCTCTTTTTTTTTGCTGAGAAAGACCGGCCCTGAGCTAACATCTATTGCTAATCCTCCTCCTTTTTTTTTTTTGTGAGGAGGACTAGCCCTGAGCTAACATCCAATGCCAATCCTCCCCTTTTTCCTTGAGGAAGATTGGGCCTGGGCTAACATCCGTGCCCATCTTCCTCTACTTTATATGGGACGCTGCCACAGCATGGCTTACCAAGCGGTGCGTCGGTGCACGCCCGGGATCCGAACCTGTGAACCCCGGGCCGCCGAAGCGGAATGTGCACGCTTAACCGCTTGCGCCACTGGGCTGGCCCCTCCTCCTCCTTTTTTTTCCCTTTTTCTCCCCAAAGCCCCAGTAGATAGTTGTATGTCATAGCTGCACATCCTTCTCGTTGCTGTATGTGGGATGCCACCTCAGCATGGCTGGACAAGCAGTGTGTCGATGCACGCCCGGGATCCGAACCCGGGCCGCCAGTAGTGGAGCACACACACTTAACCGCTACGCCACGGGGCCAGGCCCCAAAGTCACATTTCTTGAATTTCCAAACAAGGAGAGACCTAGAAATCAGCTCCTTGGTTAGCCAGTGGGTCCATATCCATTTCTACCTACTCCTGAAATCAAATACACTATTTGGAAAGGATGGTTTAGGGAATAAATTTTGTTCATTCTTAAAGGGTATTTTCCTTTGTTCAGGTCTATAAAAGAATCATCAATGTTAGTGTTACAGTTTCAAATGAATTAAACTGTTTTAATCGCTTAGACTAAATTATCATCTTTTGGGAATATCACTGAAGTCTTTTCCTGTGCTCTTGAGTAATCCTGGAAGGCACTCTGGAATGATGGAAGAACTCTGGGCTCCAGGGCAAATACTGGGTCCTACCCTGATCTGTGTGTCCTTTCTTTTGTTGTGAGGAGGATCAGCCCTGAGCTAACATCCACTGCCAGTCTTCCTCTTTTTCCTGAGAAAGACTGACCCTGAGCTAACACCTGTGCCCATCTTCCTCTATTTTGTATGTGGGACACCTGCCACAGCATGGCTTGATGAGCAGTGCATAGGTCCGCGCCCGGGATCCAAACCTGTGAACCCTGGGCTGCCGAAGTGGAGCATGCGAACTTAACCACTATGCCACTGGGCCAGCCCCTGTGTGTCCTTGTGAAAGTTAATCAACCTCAGAGAGGTTGATTACTTCACTTGAAAATGGGGATAACAATATTTACCTCACAGAGTTAGTACGAGGATTAAGTGAGAAATTATATATATAAAAACTTGGCAGTGTCTGGCATATAGCATACTCTTGGAAAATATGAGTTTCCTCTGCTTTCTCTTGGGCAGTGTTGACTAAAATATTCTTGCCCCACCTAGCTCCTTTGGCTCTGCAAGTAACAGTACTTCATAACTCCAAAAGAATGTCTGGCTCAGCAGCAGTTACTAGGGAGCACCTTAAGGTGATACTCGAGAACGGAGGCATATAGAAGAACCCAAAGCAGGCTCAGAATTAATTTCCAAATGACTCTACTGACTTCCACATGGTAGATTAATCCAAGTAAAATGGATTTAACTTGACAGTGTTACTGTAACTTACAAGGAAAAAAATTCATTATTAAGGAGCACACATGCCAGCTCCTTTTTTCTCCTGTGACAAATTTAATACATGGGGCTGAGGCAGCTCAAGAAAAAAAAGTCCCTTAAGCAGACCTCTCAGATCTCTTAAAACCCAATGTTCCACACCCCAGAGCTGGGCGCACCTGGCCTTACCTGCTCAAAGCCAGGCTCATTGTGATAGGGATTCTCAGTCATCAGGGACTGGATGGAGATGAGCACGGAAGAGATGCTCTGGGCTGGGCTCCAAGCAGGGCCAGTCCATGTACTGCAAAACACATCAGAGGGAAGGGAAGAGGATGAGGCAGAGAGATGGGAAAGGCCCTCACAGAAAGACCAGTGCACAAGTACCCTGGGTCCTGACAGCACCAACTTAAGTGACTCAACGTTTCTCTTTCACTATTAATACTCCGGACTTTCCCAGCCTCTGTCTCACCCTCATTCACCAGAAATCAGTCAACTGCCTAATCCTCTTATCAAGTGGGACAAAAGAAAAGAGGGTAAAGCAAGCAAGATAACTTTGAAGGGATTTTCTTTGGGCTAGGAAAGAAACAGTAGCCAAGGAAGGTTCCGTTCATCAAAATGAAAGGAATAGGGTAAGAAAACAGTTCCAAAGGCAGTTTAAATGTTAACCTCTGTGGATGTCAAAGAGCTTATTTATTTATGGGTGGTAATGGAGTGAGGAGAGAGAAGCTGAGCACAGAGGCACAGAGGGCACTGAAGCTATCTGGTTAGAGGCCATGTGGTGGGGTTGATGTTCAGGGATCCAGTTCTGTATCAAGCCCCCAAGGCGTGTTAAATTCTCTGAAAACTACAGAACTCTGCCAAAGGACAGGAAGGGAATAAAGGGCATTTCTAGATTGTGGGGGGTCTAAAAATGATATACGGAAAATATCTTGAACGTGACAGAAACGCCAAAATTGCTTCTCTCTTTCATAAACCTAATCGAATCTTGGGAGGAGGGCAGCTTGGATATTAATGACATTTATTTTTAGCTCAATTAATTGAAGAGATGGCACCTGAGCTGGAAGCTGAACACACCCTGAGCCGGGACTGGCTTGTTGAAGTTAACCAGCCACCTCCCTTTCCCTGCTGGACTTGAGGAAAGCCCAAGTGAGTGATGCCGAACAGAACCTCCATCAGAGCCTGCTCTTCATGCCTCTCAACCTGCTCTCTCCTCAGCTCTGCTCTCCGAGGAACTCCAGACCCTGTGCTCACTAAAGCGTCACATATTCAGGGATTCAAGTCAACAGGGTAAACTTCTGCTAAATTTCCTTTGTCACTAAGTCAGCCCAATATTTTTTCCTAGGTAGGGAGAAGAGGTATGAGGCTGATAAAGTGAAGATACTCAACTAAGAATGCAAAGGAACCTTCTACTCTGTGATTCCTCATGTCAAATTTTCAATTTCAAGGTAGCTTCTCCTTTTCCAGTCAACACACTTTTCCCACTTTTACCCCACCGTCTTACTTCCCGTTTCTACTGTGAGCTGATGTATGCTCAAAATAGTTTTATATTGGCCTAATGAAGGAGGACCTAATACAAAAACACTTTCATGAACAAATTTCATACAGAAACAACTACTAAATTTCCTCACCATTGTGGGTTATATATACCACTATCCTACCAGCAAAGACAATTATATACACTAATGAGATAAAGAACTTCTCTAAGGACAACCTCCTTTAAAGGACTTCCTCACTGCCACAATCACAGAACACATCCCTGGATCTGAGAAATTAGAAAAAAAGAATCATGTCTCCAGTTTGTTTCAGCTGCCTTTTCCCCACACAAACCTGGAAATGTACTGGACAGGAAGAAAGAAAACAGGGTCATCAGTTTGGACAACTTTCTCAACTTCAACCTGCATTTGTTCTCTGCCCCAGCGAAATTCAGACCACACTAAAAAGACCAATCCAGAATATGCTAGAAGACATTTCCATTCTGAATTTTTAACCCCCAAGGCAATTAAAAGGGAATGGATGAGAACTGCATGAAGTGAAATCTCAGTAGCACCCAGAAACAAAATATACTTTAAAGTTCTGTGTTTCATATCTGATGTGATTTCTAACTTCAGACATTTTTCATTCAGTTGTTAAAATATCATAATCATCATCATCACCACCACCGCCTCCAAAGCCACTCATTGAGAGACTCAGAAATAAGCCACCCACAATCTTGAATGGCACAGATCTGCAGCCTTTCTCAACCTGTTCGGAAGAGAATTAAGCCCTGACGCCCTAAGCGAGTGGTTCTCAAACTGGACTGTGCACCAGAATCACCTGGAGGCTTGTAAGACACAGATTGCTGGGCCCCACCCCCAGAGTTTCTCATACACGAAGTCTACAGTGGGGCCCCAGAATCTGCATGACTACAAGTTTCCAGGTATTGCTGCTGCTGCTCAGGGGAGCCACTTCACTAAGGCATCCATTGTATGTCATGAGTTAACTTCTGTTTTGTATCTAGAATGATACTAGTCGTGTACCATCCTGGGGAGAATTAAGGAAATAGTCACTCCAATCATCTTCTGTGTTCTGTGGTTCAGATGAGGAACGCTGGTTGATAAAGGCTGGCCTAGAGTAATTATTTGCTGACAACCAACTTGGCCACTTAGAAGTCTCCTCTTACCCTAGAATACTCAAGCAGACTTTCCCATTGCGGTAGAAGTTGGGGTTAAACCTCACTGTGTTATTGCCCGTTGTCATCAGTTTGACCCGAGGTGGGTGGATGGGATAGTCGGGCGGACACCGAAACACGAACAGGAAGAAACCCCCTTCATAAGGAGTGTCAAATGGGCCTGTGATCAAAGCATGAATCTGCAAAATAAAACCCCATCTCAAAATTGTGAGGTGATGTCCCATCCCAACCCCTCCTGGCTTCCACTTGCTACCCATGCCAGAAGCAGGACTCTCATCTGGTATCCATATTCCACATCCTCACCATGCAGAATGAACAGCCTGTACTCACTGACACTAATAAATATGTTTGGAATTTGAAGAAATCCCATTACAGTGGAGTGGCATCTTACTCATGGGTTACATTCTAAAGTTAGAGCACAATGTGAAAAACCGAATCTAGTCAAAAATCACCCTCGAGTGTCCCTGAAAACTCCCTTAAAGCACAGTTGTTGTTCAGACTTTCCTGATTGGTGTTATGTATAACAAAAGGATAAAACACCAATGTGCAAAATATAATATGCATCTGTAAAATATTACCCTAGCATGCTTAATTTTAAGAAATATATACACATTTTTACTGAGTACCTATGTTTGGATTTGCCTAGGTTAAACATGCGGATGATGGAACTCCACCCTCCATTTATGTGGCACAAAGAGGAGGGAAGATGAATGGAAAAGAAGAAAGGGATTGGAGGCCACAGCACCAGTGCCAGTAAGGTGCAGAGCTGAGGGCTGTGATGGAGGCCTAGGGTGTCTGCTTTCTCTGCAGAGGATCAAACCTACTCTGGAGGATGTGGCTCAGGCAGCATCCAGCTGTGTCAAAGATATAAAGAAAAATGGGGAAAACTCAGGGTCCACTCGGAGCCATTAGACCACCCCTAGAACTTTCCCCAACACTGTAGGTTAAAAAAAAATCAGCAGCACTTACAACAGACCACTAAATTCTCTTCCTCCAGCCATGATTATTAAACAAGATTTTCCTTCCTGAAGGGTGGAAAACCTGAACTGACTCAGTTATATTTCTTCTACAAAGGCTCCTAGCTTAAGTCTGCTCAGAACTTAAATACAAGAGGAAATGGACCTGCAGTCCAAGGCCTCAGTCTACAGTCCCTCCCTGGCCCGGTGGCACTCTGGATGATCTTTTAGCCCTCAATCATTTGGAATAGCCAGCTCAAATGGTATCGACATGACATCAGTTCTGGGACCCCAGGGACTAGCAAATTAACACTGATACTTGACTGAGGACAAGATGTCCCAGGAAAAACATTTCCAACCACATAAAAAGAAAAAAAATCAATTTAAAGGGAAACCTACTCAAAACAAAATAGATATACCAACAATACAAAGTCTGAATTTTTACTGTAAGAAATTTGAAACTATGAGTTTTCATTTAAACAACACTAGATTTAGGAAATCTGATTTCTTCCTAACACCAGTTTAAGTGAAAATTCACTTCTGAGTGCAGAGCGCTCAATGACAGAGAAGCCTAGGTATCTGTATCAGGGGAATCGAAGCTTTCTCTGCGTTTGTGTGTGGAAGACAAGAGGGGAATGGTCTTTGGGGTGGAAGGGATATTCAAAAGCAACCAGCACAGACAGGAGCCTAAACAAGGCCCTTTAACTACAACACTGTTCACTCAAGCTTGCCCCATGCCCAGCCTTCTCTGCATCTGATTTACAGCACCATACTTAAAGGTCAAGAGTGGCAGGATGGGGGAAGAGTTGGGTAGTAGAATCAGTAGGGCAACCATATAATTTATGATCCAAACTGGAGCATTTTTGAGAGTGAAAAAGTGCCCTATTAATAGTAAGGCTCGGACGATAGGTGGAAACTGGGATTTTCCAAGCCAACCAGGACCTACTGGCACCCTCATGACAGACACCTGTTCAAGACTCTGCTCCACCTCACTGTGTGACCCTGGGCAAGCCACTTACTCTCCTGGGAACTTGATTTCTTCATCTATGCAATCGGAGATGTGAGCTGGATAATCTCTTTTAGGCTCTTCGAACTTTATGGGCCCGATTTCCCAATAACCCCCGACCCCCATCAAGTTACATACCTTAGTCATGTCAACAGTATCAGGTACAACGAACATTCCTGGAGGAGGCTCCTTATAAATGGACATGATATCCCTGTATAACACCAAGAGGGGGTGGGGGAGGGAGTGAGGGAGAGGAGAAAAAAGGGGAATCCCTTGAGCAGAACAGTTGTTATCACCTCAATGAGGCCAGGGTTCGAGAAAGTGGTGCTTGGTACCACAAATGTTTGCACTGTCTTGTTGGCTGAAAAATCTCAGCTGAGTACTTGTCAGGCGAGCAGAGAGCAAATTATTATCAAAAGGGCATTGTTTCTTCAGGGGGAGGGTAGGGAAAGGGGAAAAAAAAAAATCAAGAGATCCCAATGGCATCAGATGTCACCCTGGAAAAGCCACATCCCATTCACTCTCACTTCCTCCCACAAGGCAATTCATTCACTCCCCACCTCCAAGATCCCAGGTAGTACGGCTGAATGCTAAACGAACAGTTTTCAGTAACTGGGAAGGCATAATCAACTCCACTAAAACACTAATTCCATAAACCACACAGTGGACCATTGTTGGCAAGGGGATTATATGAAGCAAGTGAGCTAGCAGGGAGTAGTAATGGTCTTCTTGCCCAAGAGACTAACAGTGTAGAGATCTCTTCAGGCTGCCAAGGGGACCCTCTGAAATTGCTGTGAATCTCACATCCAGGAGATGCCATGTAGCGACAACTACAGAAGATGAGAGGATTTCGAGGCGATATCTCACAAACTAGAATGGATCAGCTGGGAGTAAGGGTCTAAAGAAGGACATTCTAGGTAAGAAAAGTCTAGGGACTTGCTAGCATACACAGGGACATAAAAAAGTGCAAATAAGGGACAGAGCAAAGGAAAGAAGTACTGGCAGAACTCAAAGGTATGTCAGGATTGGAAGACTGAAATGGCTGAAGGAGTACCAGTTGAGAAGGAGTGCTGAGTTTCTTAAGTTAGAGCTGGCAACCCTGATGGAGCTGGCGTCCTGTGTCAGGCACTGGGCCTGGTACTTTACACATAATGGGCTATTTAATTTTTATTACAACCTTGAAAGGTACGTAGAGACACCTGAAGACACCTGGAACTGGGGAATGAGATTACCTAGATGAGGATGACAGTGATGGGGGCATGGGGAGAGAAAGAGTCTGGTCACCAGGAAACAGGTTTCAGGATTAATAGCAGCTAAAAGACATTACCCCTTTCCTATCTGATAGGTACTATGCTAAGCATTCTTGCTAAAATATTATCTAATAAATGATATGATCTAAGATCAGTCACCCAAGAAATAAGCAGAGAAAGGACTTGGGCCTTTGTTCCTCTATTTGAATTGGGTATATTCGCTTCAGAAAAGTAAACCAGATGGCCCAGAGGAAAAAATACCGGAGAGTCCTGAGTGGGATATTACAAACCAGAGTGAGACTGGGAAGAGGAAGCCTGAGCTCCTGGAACAGGTGTGAGAGTGGATAGCTTTGGGGTTCTAGAAAAGTGGTTCAAGGGAAGATTGCGGGTATGTGATGGGAGCGATCAAGACTTGGGGAGGGGACCATGTGAAGCGGGTTTAAGGAGAAGGGGAATAAAAAGGAGGTTGGCCTCGAGTTTGAGGCCGGCAAAGCAAGCTGTGTGTTACAAACGGGGCTCGGGAGGAGACGACGAGGGGGACCGAAGGGTGGGGCCTCGGGCAGCATCTAGCAAGGCTGGGGTGTGTAAGTGGGGAAACCAGCGGCGCGGAGGGCGGGAGGGGGTGTTACTGAAGCGCGAAAGGGTCGGGTTTCGGGCGGGAGGTATGGGGGAGGGTGTCCGGGCCGGAGGTGGAGGGCTCACGGGAGGTGGCCGAGGGGCGGGGTCGGACCTGGGCACGCGAGGAGGGCTTTGGTGCGTGTGGGGCTGGGGGCGGGGGAAGAGGGGACTTGGATCCCGACTCTCCGGGCTGGCAAGACGTGGGCCTTGGAGCTGGGCCGCTGCGAGGGCAGCGCGGAGGCAGCGGGGGGACTGTAGTGGGAAAGGGTGGGGGGCGGGGAAGGTCGAGCCCCGGAGCTCCAGGCTGGGGGAGGAAAAACCCCGGCTCACCGCTTGATCCGGAGTAGACACTGCGGCGCGGTTCGCTCGCCGTCCCAGTCGGAGCTGAGTGTGGGGTCCCAGTGGCTAAGCAGCGCGGCCCCATGGGCAGCGGCCGAGGGCGGGAGCCCGGGCAGCGGAGCCAGGCCGCTCCCCGGCCCCCCGGCCCCGCCCGCTGCCGCCGCCGCCGCCCACACATCCGGCAGGAAAGGCGGCCCGAACCCGCCGCCGCTGCTGCTAACGCCAACAACACCAGCGACGCCGCTCGCCCCGGGGCCCGCCGCCCCGGCGCCCGCCGTGGCCGTCGCCGCCTCCTCAGTCGGACTCTCCGCCATCGCTGCTTCGCTTCCGGGACTGCTCCGCAGCACGTCCGCCGACCAGAGCGGCCGCTGCTCGCTCCCGCTCCCGCACCACCGAGAGCCGGGCCAGAGTGTCCCCACCCTCCGCTTCCACAGCCTGGGCCGCGCTGGCTCCGCCCACCCGTGCCCCGACCAGCGAGAGGCGCTCTGCAAGAGCGTCCACCCACGGTCCTCCAGGGCGGGCGTCGGGGGAGGAACTAGCGGACCGCGCGAGGGTTCTGGGCCTGCGTTGGTCCCGCGATTTGCTGGGGAGGTTCTGAGGCGTGTCGGGACGCCTGGGTGCAGTTGAGAGCCCGATTCCGTGGGATATTTTATTTTCAGGTGTTGAAAGGGGAGGAAGGGAGGGCCATATCCCTCCTTACGGAGAACGACCCGCAGATGTGCCCATGGGGATCCATCCACCTTCCTTGCAGGGAGGCGCTGAGGAGATGATGAGTTGACTCGCTTAAGGCCCTTCCTGTCCGAAAGGCTCTGATTTCTCTCTGCACCCTCACCCACGGAGGGCATGCTGCCATTGCCGCTGCCTGCAACAGGATCAAGAGGAAGGAAGGAAGGAATCAGAACCTGCGAGTGAAAACTACCTCGTTTTAGAGTTTATCCAATATATGTTTATGAAGGGCCTACTAAATGCCAGGCAGTGTTGCTAGGCGTTGCCATAGGGATAATGCAATAGACGTAGAGAAGCTTGGTAAGGGGAAGTCAGACCTCTTAACTCCAAACTCAGTATTTTTGCTTCCCACAAGTCCTTGAATATACAAGAATAAAGGGGAAGTGAGTTTAAATCCTGGGAGGATTCCTCAGGACTTTCCTGAGATTTGTAAGGTGAAAAATAATACTACGGACTAAGTAAAACAGAAGCCTTCTAAAAAAAGCTTTCCCTTTTCTCCCCAGTAAGAATACAGGCTTATGTTTTTATCCGGAAAGCCTTGGGGCCAGATGTGTTTCAGAATTTAGAGTAACACTCCCAGGCAGGGCCTGGGGCAGCACCCAGTCACCAAACATAGATATTTTTGCAGCAAAGTCTATGAATATTCATACTAATGTGGGTACATTTATGAATATTCATACTAAATAGGACGAATAACCTGGCTTTGGATTATATTTTGCCACCAAATTTGTTTTTTAAAAAAAGAAGCCCAGTGGGGCCGGCCTGGTGGTGTAGCGGTTAAGTGCAGGCGCTCCGCTTCGGTGGCCCAGGGTTCACAGGTTCGGATCCCGGGCGCGCACAGATGCACTGCTCGTCAAGCCATGCTGTGGCAGTGTCCCACATAAAGTAGAGGAAGACAGGTATGGAAGTTAGCCCAGAGCCAATCTTCCTCAGCAAAAATGAGGAGGATTGGCATAGGAGGTTAGCTCAAGGCCGATCTTCCTCACAAAAGAAAAAAAGAAGTCCAGTTTTCACAGCTTTGTGAATTTTCCAGTAAGGGACTGTGGACTTGAATGATAATGGCCCACATTTATTGAGAGCTAAAAATTTATTGTTTTAGCTGACATTTATTGAGTGCTTAATATGTGTCAAGCACTTTGTATACTTTGTCTTATTTATTCATTTCAACAACCCTATGAAGTAAGTACTATTATTAGTCCGTTCTGACAGATGGATAAACAGAGGCTTACAGAGGTTCAGTCACTTACACGGGTCACACTGAGAGCAAGCGGCAGAATTGGGGCTGTAAGCCAAATCTGTCTGACTCCAGAGAAAAAGTTTTAACCACTATGTGATACCGTCACAGCTTGGAACTCTCCCACACTTATCGCAGTTTACCTTGTACTACTTATGGTCCTTTGGCACCTGTTGCTCCCACCCCCCAACACACACATACACACACACACACACACACACACACACACACTCTCTCTCTTGGGGATCGAGACTATGTATTATTTATGAATCCAGCACAGGGTCTTGGTACAGCTTAGGTACATAAAATGAAGCAAAATGAATTAATGCAACATTTTATGCAGATTTTGTATTTTGTTGGTATAGTGTTTTACCACTCTATAATAAAGATGCCAGAATATCTCTGAAAGGATATGCAAGCAACTGGTAACAGTGGTTGCCTCTGGATGGTTTGGCTGTTGATGAGGTGGGCCAAAGGATGTGTATCTTTATATATATACCTTTTGTGCCTTTTAAATGTTGTGCTCTGCATCTATTGCCTATTCAAGCTATATGTGTTATTCATTTTTAAGGGATTCTAGAAGTTTGCTTGGGTATTATTTATTAAGATGGTCAAAAGTCGGGCTGGCCCCGTGGCTTAGCAGTTAAGTGCGCGCGCTCCGCTGCTGGTGGCCTGGGTTCGGATCCCAGGCGCGCACTGACGCACCGCTTCTCCGGCCATGTTGAGGCCGCGTCCCACATACAGCAACTAGAAGGATGTGCAGCTATGACATACAACTATCTACTGGGGCTTTGGGGGGAAAATAAATAAATAAATAGGTCAAAAGTCAACTTGCTGGGTAACCTCACACAAAGAAAAACACTACTCCGTAGCTCCTCCGTGGCTACAGTCTGCAGAGGCCCAACGATGGCCCATTGGGTAAGAGGGTTCCTCAGTGCATCCCGTCCTCACGACTGGATCATTGTTTTCAAGTACAGGGTCCATTAGCAATGGGGCAACGAACAGACAACACTCACCTTAGAGTCAGATAAAGGAGGTTCAAGCTTTTGATCTGTACTACTCTGCAAATATCCTCTTTGAGCCTATTTCTGCATCCACAGAATGGTGATAATTCCTACTTCTCAGGGTTTTTCTGAGGATTAAGTGTGACATTTCCAGAAGTGTTTTGCAAAGTGGCAAGTACTGTCCACATAATTGGCACCTCACTTGCCCATGTACCCTCTCTCCTCGAGGCCTTTGCTCCTATTTTCTCTACCTGGAATACCCTTTCCCTCTAGTCTGCCAGGGGAAATCCTAGCTATTTAAACTCTGTGAGCCTCTGTTTCTCAATCAGTAATATCGGTAAAATAATAGTAGCTATAAAGAAAAGATAATGTGATAATGAATATGCACAATACCTGGCCAGAGTAAATGTTCAATAATTATTAACTCTTACTATTCTTACCATCTTCAAGGCTGGCTGGAATATTACTTTTTCTGCCAAGCCTTAACACCTCCAGGCATATTATTATTTATTCATTTTTAATTACTCCATCCTTTGGAGTAATTCATACCTTTATTATAGCACATACTACTTTTTATTTTAGTGGTTTGGTTACTCATCTGTCTAGCTACTACATATAATGTCCTCTAGGGCAGGAAGCATGGAGCACCTATCTTGTGTCTCTAAAACCTGACATTCAGTTAGTACTGCAAGATTGGTGAACAGAATGGAAATGAAGACATGTAGCCAGTTGCCCTTCCCTGGCCATGGGTCTTTAGGATTTCATCTCCTCCTCAGATATGCCTATTTTCTTTCCAAAGGGCTGAGCTAAGTTTGCACAAAGAATCTGCAAATCAAGGCCTGAAGGGCTGCAGAGGGTGGCAGCTGCTTAAAGGACTGGCTCACCACCTCCCAAGGGGACTCCAGGGCCTCTAAGCTGGGGAAGAGGAAGCACCAGGGAGAGGTTAGCAGAACATTGTAAGTTGGCATTGCTTAGTCCAGTGCTCGCTGACTTTCTCAAGGCAACACCTGGCTGCTTTTCACTGGCAGCTTGGCCAGAGGGCAAGAGTGTGCCTTCTGGAGGCACTCCCATGCCCTCTGTGGACGGTTGACACAACTGAAAGGTCTTCCTTCAGGAACTTGGATCCAAGCCTCTCTCTCCCCAGCACCGGACTGCCCTTCACTGAACCATCTCTTAGTGCAATGAAGTTTGGTAGCACCTTGCTCATGGCAACTAGGCAAGTGCCCTCCCCCAAGGACAGAAATCAGCAAGTGTCCTAGACTTCAGGTCACTGTTGTGCCTCAACCCTCTCTAAAAAAGATACATCGTGAGGAAACTTCTCCTCCCCTTCCCCAAAGTCCTGTGTCCCATTGCCCTCTGGAGTAGTCCTTTCCCTCGAGGGCCTCCTAGCCTTTTGTCTTGGGCTCAATGCCAGGGATAGATGAAGAGTTCCCATCCAGGTCATAAATCCTGGACTAAAAGGAAAAATCAAATCTTGGACTGGAGGGCTGGCCCTGTGGCCTAGTATTTAAGTTTGGTGTGCTCCACTTTGGCAGCCTGGGTTTGTGGGTTAGGATCTTGGGCGTGGACTTACTCAACTCATCAGCCATGCTGTGGCAGCAACCCACATGCAAAATAGAGGAAGAGTGGCAACAGATGTTAGCTCAGGGTAAATATTCCTCAGTTAAAAACAAAACAAAACAGGGCCGGTCCCGTGGCTTAGTGGTTCAGTGCACGCGCTCTGCTGCTGGCGGCCCAGGTTCGGATCCCGGGCGCACACCGATGCACCGCTTCTCTGGCCATGCTGAGGCCGTGTCCCACATACAGCAACTAGAAGGATGTGCAACTATGACATACAACTATCTACTGGGCCTTTGGGGGAAAAAATAAATAAATAAAACAAAAAAACAAAACAAAACACCTTGGACTGGGTGATTATAAATAATGTTATATTAAAAAATTTAATAATGCATGTATTATGTGTTATCTCATTATGTGTCTCTCAGCACATCTTTATATTACATATCTCATTGATACTGTACATGTATATATTACATGTATTAGCATTATTTGCATATATTTACCTGTATTATCTCATTTTGTTGTCACAACCACCATGAATTGCTCTTATCCCCATTTTAGAGATGAGGAAATCAAGGTTCAGGGGAGATAATTAACTTCCCAGTTAGGAAATGGCAAGGCTGGGATTTGCACTCCCCTCTGACTCCCAAGTCCATGCTCTTTGCTACCATGCTGAACTCTTAAGGTAGTGGTTACTAATTGTTTTTTGGTCATTACCCCCCTGAGACTATAATGAAAGCGATAGACCCTCTCCCAAGAACAATGCACCTCTGTATCCACTCACAAATATTTTGCACTAAGCAAAATGGACCATAGACCCTAGATGAAGAACCTCAGTGGTAACGGATGAACTAGCCTGATTGGCGGTAGGGGAACAGTCTCTCTTGACTCTCTAGGGTTTCATAGGCCCACACATTCC